ATATATTCAAAAAACCCAGGCAAACAGGTGAAGGCCTCTAACTCATTATAGGAAAATTAAAAAGGAGATAAACTTTACTCTTCTGGATCATTTTGAGTGTGGATGAAGGGTTTTGGACCCGATTCCTACAGAAAATTGGCGAAATCCCACAACTGCGTGAGATCAGCTACATTCACGGTCTCGGCTGCAGTTTGCACCAACATTACGATAGCCTTGGGATTTTACCGTCAAAAACCAGTATTTGCGACGAACCAGGCAATTTTTAGGGAAAAAATCTTTTATCTCTCGTAAACAATGGAAAACGATACTGTGATAGAAATTTGATACCTTTTATGTGCATACTGTGGCTGAATGACGGCAGATCTGATGAACTTTTCATGAGAATTCACAGAAGAAGAGAAAAAAGCGAGAAATCATTTCGAAGAGGATTCATCCATCTGAGAAAAATACGGTTACTCTAAAAAATGATCGAAGCTACTTGTGGGGTTCCTGAGATTTTTACCGTTTCATTGACTGAATTTATAGATATCTAGTCCGCTTTTCGTTTGTTGTTGAAGTCGTCGAAGTGGAAGTAGACTTCAAGTTGGAAGAGTGGTAGGTTGTGCCGTAAGGATGTGGTCAGCACTGAATACCTTTTGTGTGGGAAGAGAAAGGGAACGGGGAAGCAGGCTGCATGCAGGTGGGATTTGTAGGGCTCCGGGTGGCTGTGATTGGTTGAGCGCTCAACAGGCTGCTATGATTGGTCTATCATGGTTCTAGCCTCTTCTTGAAGTTGGCCATGAACAGGGTCCATCAGACAGAAACTCCTCGACTCAGGGATCGGGCTGCTCGTTTCTTTGTTCCAGGGAGGTTCAAAATCTCAAGAAATCTCTCCATCACTGATATCGAACAATTTTGGCGTGCATGCATAAGCGGTAGCCATAATTTCCGTCATCCCTTTGGAGCGTGTGGTCCCGGAATGACGAAAGACAAATCCTCTAACCCTTGTAGCCTCATATGTCATCGTTTTTATCCGGATCTCGAGCTTCATTTGTCATCCCTTCGTGGCAATTGTCGTTTCCTGCACCCCATATTTTATTTGGGAGCTCGAGACGAATTCTCATGTAGATATACCCCATTCGCACTTGTTTCCAACGATTTTCGATAGGAACAAGGGTGGTCCAGTGGGAATAGCGGAAAGTCAGAAATGGAGGAGAATAAAAGCAGAAAAAGAATTAGAAAAGGTGGGTTTGGTTCAATAAAGGCCCTAGCAGCCGTTCATTGATTGAGGGGAGTGTATTTGGTAGTTTTTGTTGAAATGGATTACATTAGCCCACAAATCTGATTGCACTTAGCTCTAACGAAGCACAAATTTTCATCTCTCAAACTGCGAAGGGATCGCTGGCATGAGATTGAAGTACAAAGTCAACAAAAAGTTTTTTCCCTCCCGACCATTTCACTTTCCCATGGAAAGATGGGGAACAAATGGATAGGGAGGCTTACATAAATCTCTGAGAAACGGAAGAACAAAAACTCATTTTCTAGAAGCAAACTGCAGTGCACTCCCTAAAGCTGGGACTTGTTGCTGAGGTATCCGGGTAGAACATAAAGTAGGGGAAGAATCGAAGGTAGCTCGCTGAGTTTCACTGCACGTTCCTCCTTCTTTCATAAACTTGCCCTTATTCGGGCCTGTATCGGTGCTCACAAAAGTGGTGCAACAACTGAGTTGATGGTTCGAACCCCAGATCGAATCCCTACCCAGGCCCCTCAGCCCTATAAGGTTATGAGCTACTGCCGGGATCGCCTAGGGAAAAAGTGTTCATATGTCATGAATTGGTTGACTCTACAAGTTACCGCCTAAGCCTACTACCTCACCTGAAAGACCGTTGAAACTGTGAAACTATGAAAGTTGACCAAGTTCGTGGCTTATACCAGAGCAAGGCTGATCACCTTTCAAGCGTTTTATCATCTGAATACTTAAGAAAGGCCTTTGAAGTATTCGAGGTCCAGCATTTCATCGAAAGTGAAACTCGAAAGTAGTCTATTTTTCTCTGGAAAGATGAGAAGTAAGCTGAGTCTCTACTTACCATTTTCTCAAGGTTACTTCAGGCTCTCCCTTCTATGCTGGAAACAGCGTCCAGAAGTCCAGACTGATGATACTCCCTTATATGGCCCCTTTCCAGTAGGACTTCAATTGGTCTGGGATATATTGATCTTTTACCATGAAAAATTTATTTCTTTGCCCTAAACCCTTGGTAGGAGAATTTTTATATGTGTACCTCTTGGTGAGAGATGCTCACGCACTGACTAAAGGCACCAGCAGAGCAAGATTTCCTCATGGACGCCATTTCTTTTTCCTTTCAAGAGTCCAGAAAGGGGTAGGTGAGGGTCGGAAAAGAGCCTTAAAGTCCGACTACTTGCCATTCTATCTCTCTCTATTAGGATCGTTGAGTTAGCATCAGCATTCTTCTCAAAGCCTCTCTTTCTACCCTAAATAGATCCTTCCTGTTTTTCGAACACGCTTTGTTGTTACATTCGGAAGCTTTACTCAACTTAAATAGGGAAGGGATTTCCAGTTGGCTACCCACAGGGTGCGTTTGGGGTTGTTGACGCTTGGCGAGTCACAAAACAAGATTCCGTCTTTTTGCGCTTTTATGGAGTTCATGACTGAAGAGGGAAGCCGAGCGATTGGCATCCGCCTTCAGAATCACGCAAGCAGAATCTCAATAACAGCAAAGCAGTGCGGAGTGGAGTGATGCAAGCTTAAGAATAGCTTGCATTAAAAAACAGGACATTCGACTGTCTAGAAACGGGGTGGTGGAAGAAAAGTGCAAAATTTCTGGTGTCGATCACTCCCTTTGTGGGGTGCGTCTACTGCACAATGAAGTTGATTTTGTGTTAGGCTCGAATGACGACTAAAAGCTCAGTAAAACAAATGGGATTATGGCTGGGGCGGAATTCGGCTTTTTTGGGTCCCTATCCATGACTGAGACGGGATCCGGATCTTCTTTCCTAAAGGGGAATCGGTGGCATCACTGCATAACAAAAAAAATCGGGTGCCTTCACTGCTTTACCTGTTGCTCGTAGATAAACTGGATGCTCCAACATTACGGCGTTGTTGGAATTTGCAAGGGATGTCTGGGGGATAATTAGAATCTCGGTCTTCTAAAAGAGGCCCATGAGAGATTACAAGAATCCCGAAGTAAACGTTACGATTGACCGGGTGCGATACATTAGACCCGAGCGGCATGCCGCCTACGCCGCGCGATGGAGAAGCTCAGGGGAAGGGTGTGCTTAGGGCACGTTATGTATAGATCGACACCCCGTCGCTACATACTAGTCAGCTGTGAGAATTTACCTTAAGCTGCGACTTAGCTGTTGAGCTGTTAGCGGAGCAAAGTAGGGAAGCGATCGAATTTCACGCTCAAGCTGGGCGCATTCTCCCTTCTTCTAGAACCTTGCCATTATCTGAGCTGTATCGGAGCTGATGAAAGTGGTACAACAACTAAGTTGATGGTTCCAATCCCCGATCGAATCCTTATGGGATGAGCAGGCCCCCTATCTATCGATTGGTGAGAAGATAGGGCTTAGTGATAATGAATACGATCCGGCCGATTCGATGGTCAAGACCGCTATCAAGAGTCGAGGAACCTTTCACCACCTTGTCGACCTCTCCTGAATGCGCCGCATTTCTCACATTCATTTAGAATATTTTAATGCAATTGAAACTGAACTCCGATGTTCAGACACTCCTGAACTGGACTTCAGCTTGAATTCGAAAAGGCTTGTGATTGACGGATGTGTCAAGAAAATTGTTGTGGTTATAATCCTGTTGACATATTCTGCCATCTCTTCCTCATGGCCAAATTCTCACGGGGATCCTCGGAAGAATGACACCAATGCATGAAAAAACAGACATCAATTTTCCACACATACTTCCTATGCAATGAAATCGGGAAAAATGAGTCTGTTGAGGGTACATTCCAATCGATTGCTCGAATGGAACATTTCCGGAAATGTCTGGGAAAGTTTTTCCGACTGCACCGACTCGTTGTTGTCCAGGAAAGCTTTTTCGGTCGCACCGACTCGTTGTCCAAGACTGAGGGTGAAAGGTGTTGATGTTCTGCATGGTAAGGTACTCCTTTTCCAGAACGGAACAGTTTTTCTGGTTACCAAAGGGTTTCAGCAGTTCCGTGCCTTGGCTCAAGGCACGGAACGGCTGAAACCCTTTGGTAATCAGAACAGTCATCGCGAACGCGAGCCTAACTCCGGGCTCCGAACCAGGCCACGCAAGCCTTCCGTCTGCCCGAAATTGGTTCATGGGCACTAGTGGATCAAAACGTCCTGATTTCATTTTTTAATGCTGCGGATCTCTGCAAATACCTTTTTCCATGGGACTCGGATACTGACCACAGTGGAGTAAGCGTACTGGTTTACCTTTGATTCTTTTCGTTTTGCCTCTCGAAAGAGTTTCAAGAAGTCTGGATTGGGTTAGAGTTGGCTGTCTACGGAGGACATCTTTTTGAACTGCGGATTCCGAAATCCATTTCTTCTCTGGCTAAAAGAAGTACAGTGCACCAGTGCTGGTATTTCGAACCAAACTTAGGAAGCCTCAGTTTTTTCCTACCTTTTTCATTCGAGTCCTGACTCTAGGCTTTTTATGTCCACTCGAATCTTCATTTCGTTGGCCATCGCATGTCAAAGAGTGCACTTGACGTGAAGAATTTCCGGCAGTTGCTGTTGCGAAAAGCTGCTGAAAGCCTCAAGGGACGTGGGTGCTTGCTATGTCAGATATGCCCGAGTATTTGAAGCTGGCAAAGGGATCATGTCCTAGGTGCAGTGTATAAAATCTGTTGGTTCAGAATCTTTGTTCTTTCCCTGAGAAGGAACTTCAAAGCAGTCAAATGATCGAGCGTTTTCCAAACATGCTTCTTCTTCTACTGCTGTATGGCTTGGGAGGACTTCATGCCTAGCCTAAAAAGAGCGCAGGGACACTAGAGATGATATCCTGCTGCTAGGCAATGGAGGACTTGGTTAGACTTTGTGGAAAAGCGGCTAAACGTATAAGCTACTCTGCTCTCCGATGTTATTCAATATGAATGAACGTGCTACCTTACCTACATTTTCATAGACTTTTCGGGAGGTGATTCCATAGACTGTCAGGGAGGTGATCTTGAGAACATTATCTAAGTTCAAAGGACAAAAACTCGTTGGGTGATCTCGGTCCCACACCTCGTTTTTTGGGTCCCTGTTCCCTATCCCATACAGTACCGGTTCCGCTTGCTCTCGCCTCGTTGTAGAGCTATTATGTATTTAGTCGAAATCGCCAGTAATTCATTTTGTATTGCTTTGATGGGAGGAAGTCAAAACGAGTATTACTTTCTTCGGGAATCCCTGATGAGCTGTAAAGCAAAGTAGTACTTGACTTCTTCCAATTCCCAATCCTCCCCCCCACAACCCATTTGAATACGACTTCACTTGCGGTCATGAGAACCCAATGGAAAAGTGTATACAGGAAGGCTTTCGCAAAAAAAACGAAATGTAAACGGCGCAAGAACTTCCCAGATGCCGGAAATGGCAATTCCGGCAATAACATTATTTCTTAATGGGGACATTCCATGGTGTCCTTACGGAAGATAAGAAAAATGGTAAAAACAAGCATAAATCACCTAAAAAAGGAATCCTCGATTTTTTGGGACCAACGTGGAAAAGGGGTCATTGCATTATTTTCTGGACATCGATGTGATGTAATTTCCTTCCCTTATTTTTTTTTTTCAAGCGTCGTAAAATAGCGAATGGAGGGACTCATAACTGTTGTGAAGAGGGTTCGATTTCAAACAGAATAAAGTGGGCTTTTTCGAAATTTTCCACCAATTCCAAGTCTCTGGGGATGCATTATATGAGGGGGGTAGAGCAAGTCTGAAGTCCTCTAGTTGCTCGAATAATGTGAGGACAAATTGACATTATCCAGCTGAAGTATTGCCCACGAACGTCACCCATTCGACGATTTGTTATCTCTGGAAGGAGTGGGGAGGGAGGGAGGGAGAGGACACTGGAATATTACCTGTTGATACCTACATAGGCCAACCAAGCCTTCCATCCCTCCGGGCTTGGTTGATTGGTACCAGACTCGTCTGGGAGGATAAAAACACTGACTTGTACATCGGTTGGCCACCGCAAGTCATTGTATACATAAGCCACATACGCAGTAAATTCGCCACTATCATTCTGAATGGAAATCGAGTGCGGAGTGTATCTCTCAAACANACATTTCTTATCGTACTCTATACCTTCAACATCAGCCAAATCCGGATTGAAGAGTTCATAAAACCATTCAAAGGTCATGGAAGCAATTCATAAAGATATCTATTTCAGATTCTCATGCGTGAATTACGAATCACTGAAAGAGTAGCTGAAATGATTTGTTCGCCACGGCATGGCTGGTCACGATCGTGTCGTGTAATGCTGCTTCAATGCTTAGCCAACATGGCAGTTTGCCCTGAAAATCATGTATGTTTTCACTGTTTGAGGTTTCCTGCCCTGGAACCGTCTACTGTATGCGTATCCAAGGATTTCAGGCGATTGTACGCTGTGTTATACCGCATGCAGTACAACGGCTATCATTAAACGACGAAATGGAAGTGGTTGTCGCGCTCCAAGCACTCACCAATCTCTCATTGAACATCTCCACTGAGCAGGTACTGCCCTTCCAAATCTGCAGGGTCACAGTTGGTTGACCCCAATAGTGACAGTAATAGTTTACTAACGAAGCATATTCAGTGATAATACCAACAGGAACATATTTTCCTCTGTTTATCCTTTATTCGACCTATGTGG